CTTGACCCAAGTGTGATAAAACTCGCGTTGCAGTAGTCTGCTGGCGCACCGTGGTCGCAGACGCAAAACTCACGGTCGAAACAATCAAACTCGAAACAACAACAACAGCAACCATACTCATTCTCCTCATCCTACCTCTTCTACCTCTACCTCCGTCTATTCTTCTGCCTATTCTTCTCCTTCGTCATCTTCTTCTCCACCTCCTTCCCATCGCCCCACTCGTTTTCCCCAGACTGACAGGGTGAGCCCGCTCACTCTGGCAGCCTGGAATGTTCGTTCCCTTTTAGACAATCCGAGGAGCAACCGACCGGAACGGAGGACGGCGCTAGTGGCACGAGAACTGGCGCGCTACAAGGTGGACATCGCCGCACTCAGCGAGACCCGATTCTCCGAACAAGGCCAACTGGAGGAGGTGGGTGCCGGTTACACCTTCTTCTGGAGTGGCCGACCCAGGGCAGGGCGACGAGACGCGGGCGTCGCCTTCGCCATCCGGACCGACATCGTTGGACGACTGCCCTGTTTGCCGCAGGGCATCAACGATCGCCTGATGAGCCTCCGCCTGCCTCTCTGGGGAGGCAAATTCGCCACCATCATCAGCGCCTACGCTCCGACGATGACCAAACCCGACGCCGTCAGAGACAAATTCTACGAGGACCTGCACGCCCTCTTGGCGACTGTGTCGAAGGCGGACAAGTTGATTGTCCTTGGTGACTTCAACGCCCGCGTCGGCACAGACCATACTGCCTGGAGGGGAGTGCTGGGTCCCCACGGTCTCCGCGGCTCCAACGACAACGGCCTGCTTCTCCTCCGCACCTGCGCAGAACACCGCCTCACCCTGACGAATACCTTCTTCTGTCTGCCGGTGCGAGAGAAGGCCACCTGGAGGCATCCTCGGTCGCTTCAGTGGCACCTACTGGACTATGTCCTCGTCCGGAGGCGAGATCAACGGGACGTGCTGGTGACGAAGGCGATCGCGGGTGCTGACGGGTGGACCGACCATCGCCTCGTCATCTCGAAGATGCGTATTCGCCTACAACCTCGCAGGAGACCACAAGGTAAGCGACCCTCAGGTAAGCTGAATGTTGCTTTGTTGTCTTTGCCTGCTCACCGTCTCAATTTCAGCAGTGAGCTAGCTCAACAGCTAGACAAGCTTCCTATCGCTGCCGCCGCCGACGACGCCGCCGCCGCTGTCGAGACTGCCTCCGTGGAGAACCGCTGGTGTCAACTGCGTGACACAGTCCAGTCGACGGCGCTCGCCGTCCTCGGTCGCGCTCCCCGCCAACACCAGGACTGGTTCGACGACAACGACGCTGCCATCAGAAATCTGCTTGCCGAGAAGAACCGCCTACACAAAGCCTACGTAGATCACCCTACTGAGGACAACAAAGCTGCCTTCTACCGCAGTCGCCGACAGCTTCAGCAACGACTGCGCGAGATGCAGGACGCCTGGACTGCTCGCAAAGCTGAAGAGATCCAAGGGTACGCGGACCGCAACGAATGGAAGAACTTCTTCTCCTCGATCAAAGCTGTCTACGGTCCGCCGACGAAGGGCACTGCTCCTCTGCTCAGCGCCGACGGCAGCACTCTCCTGACTGAGAAGACGCAAATCCTGCAGCGATGGGCCGAGCACTTCCGAGGCGTCCTCAACCGCCCTTCCGTCATCTCCGAAGCCGCCATCGCCCGCTTGCCGCAAGTGGCGACCAACGCGGACCTCGTCCTCCCGCCATCTCTCCAGGAAACGATCAGGGCCGTGCAGCAGCTCTCCAGCGGGAAAGCACCCGGAACGGACGCAATCCCTGCTGAGGTCTACAAGCACGGAGGTCCCCTACTGATGGATCACCTGACTGCGCTCTTCCAGGAGATGTGGCGTCAAGGTGAAGTCCCGCAAGATTTCAAGGACGCAACTATCGTGCACCTATACCAGCGCAAAGGGAATCGCCAAGTCTGCGACAACCACCGCGGCATCTCCCTACTGAACATCGCTGGGAAGATCTTCGCTCGCATCCTGCTCAACCGCCTCAACAACCATCTGGAACAGGGCCTTCTGCCGGAAAGCCAATGCGGCCTCCGTCGTCATCGTGGGACCACGGATATGATCTTCGCAGCCCGCCAACTTCAGGAGAAGTGCCAGGAGATGCGGACCCACCTGTACTCTACATTCGTGGACCTGACGAAAGCCTTCGACACGGTGAATCGTGAAGGACTGTG